AGAAAAACTCAAAGGCCTGAAGCTAGACCCCAACACCCTATGATCCTTGTATTTATTTAAACATTTTTAACACTTGATAAGTAAAACAAATATCGTTTTCCTATAAAAGAGCCACCCAATGAGCCACATGTAATTTTGTCCTATACTAAGATCCTCCCTGACTGGGGAGTTTCTTTCCTTTCTCTTTTATGTTCCACTAAATCTTTCTATTTCCAACTCTGAGTCTCAGCATCTCTATTACTAAACTTTTTTTTTCTTTTTGGGTCACACCCGGCGATGCTTAGGAGTTACAACTGCCTCAGGCACTCAGGAATTACTCCTGGCAGTGCTCGGGGAACCATAAGGGATGCTGGGAATTGAACCCGGGTTGGCCGCGTACAAGGCAAGTGCTCTACCCGCTGTGCTATCGCTCTAGCCCCTACTCAACATTTTTATTCTTGAAAATATTAAGGAACCCTGGGAACCACAGACCAACACAGAGAGTATCAGTACTCCTGCATCAAATATCATCTCTTCTTTTTTCTCAGTCTCTCGTGTCCTTGGACCCTTGGACCTACCACTTAAAAATAAGTGACCACTTGAATACAGGTGGTACCTAAATCTATATTTCAGCTGGCATTGTGCTCCTAACTTAAATTACTGTGTCCATTCCTTACTTAGTTTTCTAGACTGAAATACCAACTTCACTTTTCTCATTTGTTAGCAACGATACTGTAAGGTTCACCCAGGGACTGAAAAGTGGCCAGCTGATGAAATAGCGACATTCCTGGAACTGAAGATCACCCTGCCCTCTCTGGTACTGAAGACAGGGCTGATGGCCCATTCCACGCCTGGCAGCCCCCAGATTCTATCCCCACTTACTGAGCAACCATTCCCACTGGTCTTTGTTACTTTTCCCGGGACATAGCTCTACTCCAGCCTCACAAAGGGCCAGGCATAGATGGCTGGCCTCAGCCTACGCAGACAGATGGACAGAGGCGAGTAAAGTGGAGAAATGGGAGACTTTTATTGGGGTGCACTCCCAGGAAGACCCTGCAGGTCCCTGGCGAGGCTAGGAGAGAGCCAAGCCCTAGGAAAGATTAAGCAGGGTTTTAAATTGTCTTGGGCAGGAAAAGAGAACAGAGAATGGGGTGGGCCCAGTGTGCTTGGTCTGGTCTTCTGTTATCTGTAGGGGATGGATGTGAGGAGGCATGGAATGCAGTCTGATGACTTCCTGTCACCAGATGGGCCCTGTCTTCCGTGCTCTGGGCAGGGTGATCTTCGATTCCAGGGATGTCGCTATCTCATCAGCTAGTTGACATTTGGTTCCAAGCAAACCTTACAGCCAGAAGGGTCTGCCCAGGAGCGCACACTAATAAACTTCTTATATTTTTATACTTTTCTCATCTCTGTCTGTCTGGAGAAATCTCACCAGGTGAGAGTTCCGACCTATCAGATACTAAATTTTTAGAAGATTATTTTAATGATTTGCTCGAGCGGGCCCAGTAACGTCTCCATTGGAGACTTTGTTGTTACTGTGTCTGGCATTAAAATGTGCTGTTGCAGGCAGATAAACAGGGGTCTGGTAATGAACTTTGAGGAAATTAGGAAATCATAAAACTTTCAAATAAATTGTCTAGCCCTGAAGGTATGCAGAACACATCCCCAGGAGATTCTAATTCTGAACTCTCTGGGGATAAAGAAACTGAGCCCCACCCAGAGAAGGGTGGAACCTTCAGAAAAGAAAGATACTGAGAAGGTTTTAAGGTCCTGATAAGAATATGAAAGTACCATTAAGAGTGCAAAGACTTCCAAGTGGTAACACCCAGATTAATTTTTACATATGCAGAGAACTCCAGACCAAGACAATTTGGGAAATTATATATAAACTTCTCCCAAATCCATCCATCTAGGCATTTTCCATGAGAAGTCTCCTTGTTCCCTCTTGATTGAAAATCTCTCTCTCTCTCTCTCTCTCTCTCCCTTTCCCCCCCTCTCTCTCTGTCTCCCTTCCCCTTCTCTCCCTCTCCCCCCCCTCTCTCTCACACACACACACAAATACACACCCCTCACATCTCTAAATTTCTTTCAACAAAAACTATTTTGCTTCACCATTTTGCCTCCTCCTGAAAGTCTATTTTGGAGAGAGATGACAGACTTGGAACTCTGGTACCATTTTTTAGGACTGATTTTTGTCTTTCTGCAAAGAGCAATTCCTTGCTCCAGTCCGAGTACACAGCTCCCTGAGAGGTTGGGTGATGGGGACCAGTTTCCATGCAGTTCAGGACAAATTGGCTTCAGGAACAATGTGACAGCAGCCTCATGGGGCTGGCAGGATGCAAGTGTCCAAGTTGCATAGGTGCACAGAGCCAACTTGACTAGCCTGACCCACACCAGGCTTCACCCTGGGTAAGCAAGGTTCTTCCCCCTCTTTACTTCCAGCAAGCAGACAGGTGGAAGCACCATTTTTTCAAGGTGATTCCCCCACTCTGCACTCTACCAAATGACCTGCAACAATGCAAAGCATTTGGTTTGCCACAGAAATTGCACTGTAGCACTGTCCTCCCATTGTTCATCGAGTTGCTCTAGCGGGCACCAGTAATGTCTCCATTGTGAGACTTGTTACTGTTTTTGGCATATCAAGTACACCACAGGGAGTTTTCCAGGCTCTGCCATGTGGACGGGATACTCTCGGTAGCTGGCCGGGTTCTCCAAGAGGGATGGAGGAATCGAACCCTGGTCGGCCGCGTGCAAGGCAAACGCCCTACCCGCTGTGCTATCGCCTGTTCAATCCCTTAGAAATGTCCTCTTTTTTGAGTTTTCACTCCTACCATGAGTCTAAATCTCTCTTTTTGCAAAGAAATAAAATTTTTATTATCAGGGACTTATAATACCTTTCCAATATCCTTTCCTCTTGGTGTTACACATAGAACAGACACCAAGAAAATAACTATGGGCTTACTTTTATAGAAAGTATGATAGTAAAACTTCATAAGAAAAAAATCATACCCATCAAAAAATGGGAAGAAGAGACAGACAGAAGCTTCCTTAAAGAAGACATACTGATGGCCAATAGATGCAAAAAAGAAATGCTCTGCATTCCTTATTATCAGAGAAATGCAAATCAAAACAATGAGATATCACTTCATACCAGTGGGATTAGCACACATTACAACGAACAAAAGCAATCAATGTTGGCATGGATGTGGGGAAAAAGAAAAAAATCTCAGCTGCTGCTGGTGCAAATGTCAACTGGTCCAGCCTTTCTGAAAAATAAGCCTTTTTGGAGACATCTCAATGAATTAAGAATTGAGTTTTCATGTGACTCAGCAATTCCACATCTTGGCATCTACCCCAAGGGCCCAAAAAATCTAATCAGAAAAGATATTTGTGCTCCCATGTTCATTGAAGCTAAAATTCATAGCAGCTAAAATAAGGAAACAATCCAAGTGTCCAACAACACATGACTAGATAAAGAAACTGGTACATATATACACAATAGAATACTGCTTAGCTGTATGAAAACAAAAAGAAACTGAAATCATGCTATTTGCTGCCACATGAATAAGTATAAAGAATACTATGCTGAGTGAAGTTAGTCAGAAGGAAAAGGACAGGTACAGATGATCTCTCGCCTGTGTGGGAAGAAAAGAAATTTATTAAGGAAATAAAACATGACTAAAAGCAAGAGAGCCTGAAAGTAGGCGCAGAAAACTTGGGAAACTAGGGTGGGAGGAGTGAGAAACACACTCTTGTAGAGGGTGTGGTGTTGGAACACTATTGTTAACAGTATTGCAAATCACCATGCCTAAAATTTAAAAACAAAAACTTAAGGAAATAAAAACGACCTTCCAGCTTTGCTTGCAGTCAACTGGGGTTCAATTCCTGGCCCTATGTGGTTTCCCAAGTCTCACCAGGAGTGATCTATTAGCTCAAAGCTCTGAGTAAATCCTGAGCACAACCGTGTAGGGCCCCCCAAACAAAAATAAAGGAAAAAATAAAATAAAAGCATAAAAAGGAAGTATCACAAGCACAAATTATAACAGCTGCAGCATGTACTTTAACAGATTTTTGGCTTAAAATAAAGTGTAAGCAAATCTATGTACTTGGAATTCCAAGTTAAGTAGAGTAGATTCAAAGTTTCCAAAAAGGACAGAATAAAAAATTCACAACCCTCATCCCTTTTACCGCCCCCCCAACACACACACACACACACACACCCATACTATCACATACAAATCTATCTGAGAAATCTTAGCTTTTTTGATATTTTTTATATACGGTGACTCCATGAAGGTTTTATTTGAAAAACAGGTTCCAGAACTATTTAATTTTTTTTATAGCGCTGAGGATTGAACCAATGGCCTCGCACAAAAAATGTAAGTGCTGTATAACTAAGCTACATTCCTGGACTTTCAATATTTTATTTGAATAGAAAGTTACAAAGGTAAGAAAATAGGGATTTTTTTAAAAAAGAAAGAAATAGGAAAAATTGGAAACCACAGCAAGAGTGTTTGCATCATTACTCGTTACAGAACTATTACCTCTTTTCTAAAATAAATATTATAGAATTATTTATACATCATTTTTGAGCAATTAAAGAGATAGCTTGCTTTACGAATAGTTTTTTTAGATTAAAAATTTTAGCTAGCCTAAAATATCTTTATTTTTATGACATGCATTGCTACTCTGCTTCTTATTTAATGTTCTACAACATGTAGGTATGAGATGACAGATCTTGAGGCCAGTAGGTTATGAACAATTCACTACATTTAAAAGATTCAATGTCTCTGAAAGGTAATTATTTGACTATAAATATACAAAGAAAGAAAAACACCATACCCATTCATAGCACGTATTTATCATCTATTCAAGGTAGTAGAGAATTGTCTCATGGTATATTATGAAAACTCACATTATTCTTGCAAAAAAAAACCCCAAAAAAACAATAGTTTCTATTTTTGTCACTGAATTATGAGAAAGAAATTTTTCAGCACAATGAATAAATAATTATATCACCCTTTAAATCTAAAAAAAATTTATTTAACCAACACAGTTACATCTAGTGAAATCATTTGGGGAGAAATCGATTACTTGCTAATTAGTGAAAAAAAAAACCAATATATTTGGACAATGCATCCAGTGAAACATTGTGAAGTTCGGTGCAAACATCAATCCAGCTCAGAGTCTCTTGATTTAAGCTCTCTCGTAAACTCTAGTAGAAGTGACGCCTTTCATGACACATTCCTAGACACAGAAAAAATTCTTAGTCAATCCCTGGAAAACCATGTGTTTGTTTATTGCCAGTTGTAGGAAGGAAATGAATGGATTTGAAAGATACTTGTTTAGGATTCCAACGCATACCTGATGCTGTAATGAATTAGGGAAATAGCAACAGCCTCCCTTGTAGTCAATATGGTAAGTGATAAGGTGAAGTAGAAATGCCTAATACATATGGTGCGTGCTGAGATGTATCTGGGAATACTTTACGGGGACTATATAAGTATGTGAGCTCAAAAGCATGAACTGCTATTCTCAAAATGATTCCAGAATCCCATGTCCCTGTAGGATCACTTTTTTTGCCCTGCATAAACAGGAGTGATTATGTATTTCTCATAGTAATGATGATGACTTTGTAACAGAATCCAGAATGAAGTTGCCAGAAGATACTCACCACCACCAGTTTGTCATCCACTCTCTTTCTCTTTATGGTGGTTGATTTTCCATCCCACTTCTGCACCTGCACCAGAACACCTCCATCCAAGGTAAAACAGCTCTGTGGGAATAATTCAAAATGATTCTAACATATGGTGGCAGAAGGCAAAATTTAAAATACAGCTCCTTGGAAGAAGTGTTTTAAAATTGTTTGTAATTCTAAGCAACAAGAATCTATTAGAAAGATAATGAGTGTAAAAACAAAAGCATAAATATTATACAATTATCAGCAGTTATACATGCAGAAGATTGAAAACCCTTCAGTGAATAGATGGTCTAAATTTACATTGAGAAGATGGTATTTTAGGTGATTACCCGCTTTTTAATTTCACATTTTAATGACTTCTTTCTATCATCACAGTAATTCTGTTACTCTATGCTTGGCATGACCAATCAATTATAGTTGTCATTTCTTTAAATAAGGGCAATTATGTGAGACACGAAAAGATTCACTAAGTATTGAAAAAAGACTACATGGTTTAGATCTATGAGGGCACCTATGGCCTAAAAGAGAATCTCTTAACCCTGTCACAAAGTGAATTCTAGTCGGAGACCAGCATTTAGAAGTCGGGCTTAGCCTGAGAGCTCTAATTACTTATTGCTCACCTTGACTTTCCTGTCATCTGCAGTGACCTCATCAAACTCTTGGCCAAGTTTGAAGGAAACCTCGGTATTTTTGAAGGTACTCTCTGATTTAATGGTGATAACATCTCCACTCACACTAATAATCATATTCGGTTTGGCCATACCAGCCACTTTTCTGGTTGCAAAACCCACTCCTGCAGTTGGGAGAGAAAAAGAAGGTCAAGTTTGCATCTCCCCTCCCTCACACATTTAAATCGGAGCTGTGAAATACATGTACAGGGGAGTGTATTGATGCATATAGGTAGTTTTATATATGGGGACATCTGTGAATATTATATGCATAATAGGAAAAAGATATCATTGAGTTTGTTAAAGGCCTCCTTGAAAATAGTTAATGGAAATGAATAGAGCAGACTAGTCCTTAAAGAAACATAAGACAATTAGTTAGCAGTAGATCTATTTAAATGTCCCCTTCTGGATTCAAATACAACTCCACAGAAGACATAGTTTCAGTTTTCAACAAGAATTTGTACAGGAGACAGAGCGATAGTACAGTGGGTAGGGCATTTGCCTTGCATGCAGCTGACCTGGGTTTGGTCCTGGGTATCCCATAGGGTCCCTTGTATTCCATATGTTCACCCAAGTACCACCAGGACTAATTCTTGAGTGCAGAGCCAGGAGGAACCCCTAAGCATTGTGACCCAAAAAGAAGAAGGAAGGATAGAAAGGAAGAAAGAAAGAAAGAAAGGAAGGAAGGAAGGAAGGAAGGAAGGAAAGAAGGAAGGAAGGAAGGAAGGAAGGAAGGAAGGATTGTACAAATATAAAGTTTTCTGAGATACACACCAACACTCACACACCCACACACCATTCATCCGCCCCACACACAAACACACACACACACACACACACACACACACTTACATTTTAAAAGTTACTGTTCTTTCACATTAATTGATAATCTCAACTACTAAGACTACCAGAGTTTTATTAAATTCTAGTGGTAATTCGACCACTTCTTAGATTTAAAAAAAGTTATCTAATGTATAAAGACAAAACTCTTAATAGGAATTTGGGCCAATGTAGAGTTGCTCAGTTTAAAAAAAAAAAAAAACTATTTTGGACACCAAAAATTCACAGTTCAGAGCTTTATCTGCCAAGTCTATTTTTCTTGGCTTCTGTTCCAAATTATTCTACCATGAAATCAAGGTTTTAATTAATTTCTCCCAAAGGCAAAATATTTCCCACATTCATATCATTTTAGAATGGTGATATTGTCCCCAATACATCATAAGAAATGCTAAGGAATGCTTAGTTTTTAATTGTAAACACTTCAAATTTTAATAAATCAAAGTTTGAGTATACTTAGAAATTGCTACTCTGATTCCCAATTACCCAAATAGCAAACTTATTTTTAAAATCAATATATTTTTACTTTATAATTTATTTTAATTTTGATTTTTGAGCCACACCCAGCAATGCTTAGGGATTATTCCTAGTTCTGCAGACAGGTATTACATCTGGAAGGTCAAATGGGATGCCGGAATTAAACCTGGGTCAGCTACATACAAGACAATTGCCCTTCCTGCTGTACTATAGCTCCAGCCAATGAATGATTTGTCACCTAACATAGACAGTGATAATTTGCTACCATTGCATATCTAATTGGCATTTTTTGACAGTGATAAATACGTTGAATTTTTAAAGATGTAGATGAATCTAAGATATTTTCTTTACAAAAAAACTACTTATAGATGCCAAAGATTAGGGTAAACAAGGAAATACCTATTGCACAGAATATTGTGCTGCTGGACTTTAGATTTAGTTCCTTATTTGAAGAAAAAAATGACCCCAGGTGGGATAGCAGTATGCTATTACAACAAATTGTGGCTCTGTTACAAAACCAAACATGAAATGAGAGAACACAGTGAAAAAGTACAGCATGGATAGTAACTCCACATCAGCCAAACATGAGAAAAATTCAATTCTTCACCTGCCTGAGCCTGTTTTCACTTTATCAGTGAAGGCACCTTGCTTCTGGATCATGGGTTAGAGCCGAAGATTTCAGAAGTCATGGCCTCTCATTATCATCAGAACTTTGAGATTTAAAATATACTAATTTAAGAATTTAGATATATTGGGGCTGGAGAAATAGTGGCGGAAGTAAGGCACTTGCCTTGCATACAGTGATCCCAGTTCAAGCCCCACCACCCCATATGGTCTCAGTCACCACATGAGCGACCGCTGAGCCAAATAGTATAGCCTTCATTCTGGCATCTGTCTATCAGCACAGAGTTGTTTGCTGAATCACTGATATTCTAGAAAGCTTGGTCTCTCTCTTGCAAAAATTCCTGGTTTCCCTCTTCCCTACAAACAAATAGGAGTTATAGGCAAAGAAAAAATAATAAAATATTTAGGGAAAGGTTGAGGATTTGGGAATTAAATCATAACCTCTAAAAAATATTATATAGGGGCTGGAGCAATAGTACAGAGGGTAGGGCGTTTGCCTTGCACATGGCTGACCCAGGTTCGATTCCCAGCATCCCATATAGTCCCCCGAGCACCGCCAGGAGTGATTCCTGAGTGCAAAGCCAGGAGTAACCCCTGAGCATCGCTGGGTGTGACCCCCAAAAATAAATTCTATAAAACCCCATTCCAATTACACCCCTGGGGTGAGATTTATCATGCATGGGATATGGCTGGAAAGGGCATTAAAGGTCGAAGTTGCCTGAGAGAGAGAACACATCTTTGCTTTGTCCTACCAACTTCCTTGACCTTCATAACTTTCTGTGTAACAGTTGCATGATCTTCTAGCAGTGTCAGCAGACTAAAATCCCCAAAGCCTTAATATTAAAGAAAGGATATTTATGTTCTCCTTTTCTAATTACTCAGTATTTCCATGGCATCCCATGTCATCTTTGGTCAAAAATATTTGAGTCTGTAAGATAATATCTTCTGAAATTATGATTTCTCTGCTCCATATAATAGCCATACATTTTCATGTATTGATATGGAGACTATAAAAAATTGCTAACATACATTCACTTTATAACTTAAACTGAAATCAGAAATATGATGCCTTCAGTATCCAAGTGGGAAATATTGCATGATAAGAAATAATGGATTTTTCCCCCAAATAATTGTGTATTTTATAGGCGAGAGGGAAAAAAATAAAAACAGGCAAAAAGCCAAGTAAATCAAAGATTCATAAGTTTAGCAAGCAAATCAAATCTGGTCATTTCTGTGACCATGAAATTTCATTTAGAACTTTTTTCATATTTGTTCTCCTTTAAGGAGCATAGTTGTAACTTTGGTCTATACTATTTCTACAAACAAATCACATTTAAAATTTTTTTCAAAGCACTTCTGACACAAATAAGTTCTAAAAGGGATTCAGAGACCTCTTAAAATGACTCTCGCTTGCAAATTTTTATAGTGTCTATATAGAAAGCAGCACTCTCTTTAGTGTTTCCAGAATTAAAGAAATAACAGAAATAAGCCCTTCTGCCCTAGAGAAAAAGCTACAAATATTATAGAACAGCAAATTTCCTTACCCACTTCCTTCATGTAATCATCAAAGTTTTCACTGGAGACAAGCTTCCAGGTACCTACAAATGCATCACACATTTTGTGAGCTTTCTAGGATTATCCTTTCAGATGAGAAAGAAGTTGAAGTTCTCAGGAAACTGGTATGGCTCACTTGAGTCCAGATACCTTCCTTTTAAAGATGCTCAGAACATGTGATCCCAGGAATAACCAATTGGAAATGATATCAGACCATTTTCTTCGTTACCAGTCTTTGCATTTTCCCCTCTGAGTCATGTTTTTAATAGAAATTTCTCAACTTTGACTCTCCCTGGCAAATGGTCACTGGGCTTAGGGTACAAATTATTTTGAACCATTACCAGAATATTTAAAATGTCCCTGTTTTGATAGTTTAATGTTCATCACCCTGAATTTCCCCCTATTATTTTAATATATATTTATCCCAGTAGAGAGAAGAATAATTACCTTAGGATAAACTTTGACTCCATTTTCTGGATATTCTATCAAGATTGCAATTATTTGGTTCTTTTGAATTGTGGAAAATAAAAGTTATCTTGAATATAAAATAATTGCAAAAGCTCTTTGGGACTGTACTATGTCAGGAGTTACTTGGAAATTGAAATTAAGTAATAACCTTTAAATTGTACTGGGTTTCTCATGTCAAATGTTTTGCATGAGTGTAAAATAAATCTAATTATTCCATTATAAATCTGCATTCAATCCACTATGGATCTGAATTCAATAATAATAATCATCATCATTTAAGCCTATAGGATTAATATAGGAACTTAAGGTGCTTATCTAGCACAAGGCCAACCCTTATTTGTCCCCAGCACTGCCTCTGGTCCCCTGAGCACTACTAAGAGTGATTCTTGAGCACAGAGTCAGAAAAAAAAGTAAGCATGTAATATAGGGTATGGCAAAATGCCATCTAAAAAACTTTAAAAAATTAAATAATCACTTAAACTCACTCATATACCAGAGGTGAGAGTATAATGTTGATTTCTATACCCCTTTAAAAAATAGGTCCAATCTAAATATATAGCCTATACCTAGAAAGTAATTCTGTTTCTGAATTATCTGATTTATCCTAACTAAATGGTTTTCTTTATTAGAGAGCAATTAAAAGTGTTCACAAGCTACCAACACTTATTTCCTTCTTTCACTTAGTGAAGAATTCATGAGAAAACTTTCACAAAATAGTCAACATTTAAATAACCCCTTGCCCTTTACCATAAAATGTATGTCCCTGAAGATATAACAAAACAGATGTAGAAAATGCAGAGGAGCTGTTTCAGTACAAGAGCAGTGGGAACTTCTGGCTTGATTTCCATTTATACCAATGTCACCCAAACAATATCATCAACAATAAACTATACCATGTGCTCCTACAAACCATGACAAAAATATGTACCTCCTGAGTAGAGTCCCAAATTTGATAAAAGCAGTGACTCTCATCTAGGAAATTCACTAATGGATATCGAGTAATTAAGCATTAAATAAAAGACAGGAATGAAATCTAGTTTGGTGAGAATCTAGCAACACTCCTTTGAAAAATAGTAGGTGAACATTTCTTTTGGTGTGTCTTCATATTCCTATGTCAACTTATTTTAGTGTCTGATCACCTTAGAGAAATTGACAAAGTTGAGATTTTCCAGAAAAACTATTGGTTCTTGCAATGATTTTCTATAAGTAAATATAGTGATAAATATATAAAGAACATTAATAACTTTTAGCAGCAATGGAAGAAAGCGTGAAAAGATAGTAGGATATATATGAAAATTTTTTTTATCATGAAATTGCATAGAAAAGCAAAATTGGCTTTCCAGAGTTACTTGTTTTTAAAGCAGCTCAATATATGTTTCAGACACCCGAGCCATCCATTGGAATCCTAATTATCCTTCTACGCACAAGAACTCTAAGCTATGTCGTGTATGAGGCAGAAAATCCTTTCAAAACAATAAGCTGTCCAGAAATTTGACGCAACACCTCATATCTTATATGGTTCACATCTATTCTACAGTTAAACTGGAATACAAGTGACTGCCTCGTTTCTCCATAAATTTTTTTTATTTCAGTTCCTAAGACATCACCTTGCCGAGTGGATATGAGCAAAAACTCCCTTAATAAATAACCACAATATTTTCCAAAAGTGCTGATGGACTGCTATATGAATCAGGTAGTAGGTAATAAGCAAAATTGCACTACAAATAAATCAATGTGTCATAACCTTGAATTCAATACTTTGTTACAAACTCATGTATTAATTTGGAGAATTTAAGTTTAACAAAAAATTCAGTGATCATTCTTTCTAGAAAGCTAGCAGAAGGCACTATTCTAAGCATGGTAAGACAAAATAATAAATAAGGTGTGATTTCTCTCTCTTTTATTAATGCTCAAAATCATCATTTTAGTTACTAATCTAGGGGAAAAACCCTTTGTAGCGTTTTATTTCTACAATCATCTTAGTACAATACTTTTTTCTTTTGCACACTAGAGACCCTTGCTGCTTCCCAACTTTTTATACCTAGCATATTTTATAACTCCGACAAGGTAAGTAAAACCTTAACTCTTTTTCTAATCCCCCCACTTGCCTGATCTTCCTTCTCTCTCCTGAATATTATTCCATCCAAGACTTAAATTTCCAGATACCTAATTTGTTCACCTTGTTAAAAATATTAGAACTGATTAGATTATTCATTAACAAAAGCAATGAAGTATGCTTTTTAGTCTACAGAATCATGCCTACTGCCTATGAATGAGTTTTAAGTCATATTACTTATATATGAGTTTTAAATCACAAAACTATCAGTTTTCTAAAGAAAAAGTACCACCAGGAAAAACAAATTATGAGAAGAGGAAGACAAAGTAAATTTGTTCACAAGATAAAAGTTAGGCGATGAGCAATGAGATTCATGGAGAAAAATGGAAGAAGTTGAGAATTGATATAGCAATGGTATAGGAAGTGCCTTCCTTCTGGAAAAAACGGATCCTATAAATATGTGACCCAAAAAATTGTACTTGATTATGAAAGGAATTTACATAGGAATGCCTATGTTTTTGTTCACAAATATTCAGATATATCATTAAAATGCACATACCCGGCCAGACTCTTTCCCCAGAAGTGAAGGAAAAGGGTCTTCAATATATCTGTGCTTTGCTTTGGAAATGTAGAGATTGGGGGAGATAGCCCCAGGCCCCCAGTGCCCACTGGGAGCGGGCGTGCTCTGGCTGGGGCTCATGCTGACAGCTCTGCACTTTGCTCTACTGTGGCCAGCTTCCATGGAATGCGTCCCGCTGAACTTTGCCTGTGTTTATTTCTTTAGGAGGAAATGAGGGTATTTTTTTTCTGACAATTTTTAAGTTAAAGAGGAAACATACCCCATTCCTGGATAATAAGGAACAGAGACAAAGCCCCAATGACAGATTTCCTCAGCCTGTGTATGGTAGGTTAAGGGTTCATGCCGAAACTGTCCACTGATTAATGCCAATTTTTATTACCAATCTCAGGACAGTTGTTACAATTTTAAGATGAAAATCTTGGGGAATGCTTAGCCGTATTTTACTTGAACTCCTCTCACATGTTATTTTGAGCGTAATATGAAAATTATTTAAAATTTCCTAGATTGATGGGAGAAGCATGCTAAAAGTAGACTGTAGACCAAACATGATTGCCACTCAATGCAAACCACAGCACCCAAAAGGAGAGAGAGAACAAAAGGGAATGCCCTGCCACAGAGGCAGGATGGGATGGGGGTGGGGGTGGGAGGGATACTGGGACCCGTGATGGTGGAAAATGGGCACTGGTGGAGGGATGGGTACTTGATCATTGTATAATCGAAACCCAAGCACAGAAATTTGTAAGTTTACAACTGTACCTCATGGTGTTTCACTAAAAATTTTTTTTGAAAAATTATGCATGGGGTACATTAAAAACCCTCTGTCCTTGTTGCCCCCCAATTTTATTTTAATAAACCTCTCTCTATGAGTTAAAAAAATTTCCTAGATTAGGTTTAAGAGGCAGAATCAAGGTAACCTGCATTAGTTCATACACTATCCATTTTATAGGTTCACACCAACTCCTTGACTTTACAATGGTGATGGTTCTGGAAAGGCTAAGCAAACCAGTGAGCTATGCAGCAGTTAACACGGCCATGTCTAATTACAGGCCATGCTGAGCTTCAGTCATTTTTCAGAACTTCCTCAGTAGCGCTCTTCCTCATGAAAGGGAGTCTTCATCCGTAGCGTAGTGGGTGCAAGCAGGAATTAATTGAAGAGCTTGCCCAGCACTTTCTGAATGTCAAGTGTGCCCTACTTTGCCATTATTTATGAAGCAAATTAACAAGGAAATCCAGAGAGAAATGTACAAGTGAACCTTTGTGACATCAGAAGACATTGCCAAGAATATGTCCAAGGGACACTGAGAGACTGAGGCACGTACACACACTAAGTTTGTTCTTTCACTACCTCCGAGCCCTTTGAGGGGAGAGGTGAGATCATCTTCATTACTGTATACTGAAGGCTTTTCATTCTGTTTGACATAGGAGTTCTGTATACTTTATGTTGAATTAGGAGCACATCAATAAGATTGACGTATACCATATTAAACCATAAATGACCTATAATATCATCTTTGAGTTTTTCCAAAAAATTCTGATTAGCCTCCTTGAAACTATGACAGAGTGAAGGAAAAAAATTATGTTTAAGGAGGTATTCCAGAGAACACAAGATTCATCTTCTGGTCCTCTGGAATTGTAGTCCTCTGTCAACTGCTCCTTGTACTTGTAAGAACTTGTCTCCGTTCATAAAGAATGGACATCCTGTGCTGCCCCCACCTAACTTCCAATCATAGCCTTGCCCTTGCTTTTACCAATCTCAGACCACTTACATGTTATGCGTTTTCTTCAATCTCTCACAAGTTGTGCGTTTTTATTTACCTAAATTGAGGGGAGTACAAAGAATATGGGCTGGAGCGATAGCACAGTGGCAGGGTATTTGCCTTGTGTGTGGGCCGGCTCAGCTGAGCCGGGTTCAATTCCTCTGCCCCTCTCGGAAATCTGGAAAAGTTACTGAGAGTATCCTGACCGCATGGCAGAGCCTGGCAAGCTCCCCGTGGCATATTTCGATATGCAAACACAGTAAAG